ATTTTACTTTGCTCTTTTTGTGTGCTTTTTTCTTGCCTACTTACTCTGGGTAGAACTTGCAATATTGTGCTGAATAGAGGAGATGAACATGGATACCTTGCGCTTGCCAGGCACGCGCTTTGCCGCTGACCTAAATCCCCAGCCCCTTCAGTTCAGTCTTGGTAGACTGTATGTTTTTGGGAATTTACTCCTTCCACCTAAGTTACCCAGTGTATTGGAAAAATTTTACAAGGACATTTTCTAAGTAAGAAGTAGTGGAAGGGACAGTGCATTGCATGTATTACAGCATAAGATAATTATTGATGTGTTTTACGTCATTTGCTTTGTCATTTTTACCAGTAACCATATGAGTAAATAATGCAGGTCTTAGTCTCGTTTTATAGATGAAGAAACTAAACTAAAGCTCCAAGATGCATAGGTAACGTGGCTACTCAAACTGCAGAACTGAGAACTTGACAAATATTCTTGGTAGGGACATGAAGAAAATATAAAAGTAAAGGAGCATATTAGAATTTGGGGAATATGGGAGGTTTTTGTATTTATCAAATTGTAGCAAGTTTTCACTTAGGTTAAAAAATACTCTACAACATCACCTTTCATTCTTCTTCATTGTTTTTAATTATCTAAAAAGGATTTTTCTTGTATTTTTCTAAGGAATCACTCAAGTAATTACAAAAAAATACTATGCACAAAAGTTAGGTTAAAAAGGTAGATCTTTAGCTTAGTTGTCCAGAGCAGTCCATCCTTATAATAAATTTTTGTTAAATTACAAAACTGCAAACATTTTAGATGTCTGAGGATTCTGTTTTCAGCTAAAACTAAGATACTAAATTTGAATTGTCTATTTGATTAAGAGTCTTGCCTATTGTCTAACTTAATTTTGCTATTATTGTTTGGAGTTTCTTATATTTCAACTTAATTTGGTATTACTCTATATTGTAGTTTAGAACAGTGAAGAGTTACTTATTCTAAGATGTTTATTTTTCAGGTTCCTAGAAGCCAGACCAAACTGACAATAATGCTTGAAAAATTAGGAATGGATTATGATGGGCGGCCTCATAGTGGTCTTGATGATTCTAAGAACATTGCCAGAATAGCAGTTCGAATGCTTCAGGATGGATGTGAACTCCGAATCAATGAGAAAATGCACTCGGGACAGCTAATGAGTGTGTCATCTTCCTTACCAATAGAGGGCACTCCAGCTCCACAAATGCCACATTTTAGAAAGTAGCCAATTTATGTCTGGATCACCCTAACTGAAGTTATTATAAAGAGGTAGCAAATGAATACTGATCAAATTAGTCCTGCAGTGCAAACTTAAAGCACCTTAAACATTTAAAATTTTGTTACAGTTGTGGATAGATACTATGTGTGTGTATGGACAGATTTTGTCACCAGCACTTTTGATAAGACAGTATGTGTTACACAGTAACAATTCCTGCTTAGAATTGCATTTTATAATTTAAGGTATCTCTCTGATGTGTTCTTTTTAGTTTTGAAATGCATAATTTTATTGGTTCTTTAAATGTCACAGCTTTTTGATGTTGAAATATAGAATATTTCTACATTACTATATTAAATCATTTCTTATTAAAATGCAGAAAGATTAAAAGGTAGGCCTTATCTTGTTGTTGGGTTTTATGATGGTGATGGTCATAGTCTGCTTGAGTCTTCAAGTTTATATGTGCAGTTCAGCTCCAGTCCTCCCTCAGTATTCTCAGGGCACTCACTCCAGGACCCTGACTGCACACCAAAGTCCCAGGGGCTCCAGTCCTTCACATAAAGTGGCATAGTGTTTGCATATAACCTGCACATGTCCTCCTGTATTACTTTAAATCATCTCTAGTTAGTTATAGTACCTTAGAAAATGTAAGTACTATGTAAATAGTTTTATGCTGTGTTATTTAGGGAATAATGACAAGAAAAAGAAGTTTGTATAGATTCTGTACAGACAGAAACATCATATGCCTAACATACCACACAGAGCCAGGTGCAGGATTTGCAATGCAGAACCATGAGCACTGGGGGAAGCCTAAAGAGCTGTGAAACGGCTGGAAGCTGAAGCAGGGGTACTGCACAGTGCTCCATTTCTGTGGATTCAGCATAGTGCTTGGCACATGGAAAATTCGTTTGTGTTTTGGAATTTTTTTCCCTAAATATTTTCATTCTGCAGTTGCTTGGACCCATAGACATAAAACCCACAAATATGGAGGGCAAACTATATATAGTAAGTTCCATAAAGTACATGTCATACGCATCTGCTTATTTCTTTCCAACTCATGATTGGAAAACTTGTGATATATTATGGGACCTGGTTCAGAATTTATTACTTATGAAATTAATGCAAAATCAGAAGAAAACACTTTAAATGAATATCATAAGGGCTGTCGCTCAAATGTTATATAGTACATAAATAAATGAGTGTGATTTTCTTTTTGGATTTGGTTGTTTGGTTTCCCTTTCTCTTATGACTTACATCTGCTGTAAATTTAAATGTAAGCAGTGGTGCTTTGAAAGACTTTATAGTATTACATCACCATTTGATTTTACATTTGTATTTAGTATCATAAGGGAGATTAATAAAGTCAAGGTTTTCTATCACATCTTATATTTTTATTGTTAAAAGCTTCATTGGCTAACAGTGGAGTTTGTTAATAAAATATTTGGTTGTCTGATTTTACATGGTGAATGACCACTAGTTCTAAAAACAAAGATGATTTTGGAGTTGATAAAACACTACGTAGAAGCTACAAATGAGTATTTTTAGAATTGAATTTCCCCTATAGCTTTTCAGTGGATCAATTTCATTGACATTCCTTCTTTTCTTTGACATTTGATTGTTGTGACTCTACATTGTTTTAATGATTTATATATTATAATCAAATGGGGATTTTTCATTTTTTGAGACAAGGTCTTGCTATGTAGTCCACGCTGGCCTTGAACTCACTATGTAGCCCAGGCTGACCTCGAACCCATGGCAATTCTTCTACCTCAGAAAAAAAAAATCTCCTACCTCAGCCTGAGTGCTGGGATTACAGGCATAGCACCATGCCCGACTCTCAAGTGATTTTCTTAAATGATTTCTAACCCTGATACATAGGACGAAAGTAGGAAAGCAGACATTTTTCTTGGCATGAAAATTGTCTGCAAAGGGATTAGATTCCTCCCACTCCCCACTACTGGGGATTGAGTCCAGGGGGCTTTACACTGAGCTACATCCCCAGCCATTAGGTTTGGTTTGGTTTTGTTTTTTTTAAACAAGGTCTTGGCCGAGACTACAAAGTCTTGAACTTAGTATGGAGTCCAGACTGGCGTCCAGCTCTCAGTGATCCTCCCACCTTAGTCTCTAGAGTGTTGCAATTATAGGTGTGTATTGTCATGCCTGGCACCCCCAGCCATTTATTCATTCACTCATTCCTAAGGGAGGTTCTCACCAGGCTGGGCTGGAACTTGTGGTCCTCCTCCCTCTGCTTCCCAGCATGCCAGTATTACAGGCACATACACCACCATGACTAAAAAGGGTGTGGGTTTACTTGAGCCAGTGAATTTCTGCCTTTGAGCAGCGTTCATATAATCAGCATAATGAAGAATAACGTAGCTAGCAGAAGGCACCAAGGTATGGCTATCCTTAGTGAGGGGCTGTAGTCAAACAAGGAATCTGGGTATTTCAGGTGTATCCACATAACTCAGGCTATCAGGGAGATGTGCTGAAATGTTTGTGAATCAGCGCTGGGCAGCACAATATACAGTACCACTGAAAGTGTTTTAAGAATTTCCTGCAAATCCTGACTGTGCCAGAATGAAGAAGTAGAAATAAAATAACAAATCCCTATTGATTCTGCATGCAAGTGGTTGGCCAGGTGTATTCCTTAGGGGATTTTCCCCACATGACCACTGTCCCGTAGGATTGCATCGAGCCCTAAACTAATTGCTTCTCAACACTTGTATAGTTGAGAAGTCTGATAATGGCAAGGACATGTTAACTGCTTTTATTTTTATTTTTGTAAGGGATTGAATGCAAGTGTGCTCTACTAGAGCTGCATACCCTGGCTTGTTTTAATTTTTTGTATTGAGATAAGGTCTTGCTAAATTGTCCAGGGATTTAAATTTTGAATTCTCCTCCCTCAGCCTCCCAAGTGCTAGGATTAGAAATGTGTGCCACCACACCCAGCTTTTTTGTTACTGTTTTTAAGTCGACTACTTGTTTCTTTGCTCAGTTTCTTTCAAGTATCCAAGAACTGACAACCTCATTTAAATTTTTAGTCCCTTTTGGTCACAACCAAATATTTCACTTTCTCAATTTTTTTTTTTTTTTGTCATTGTTAATTACTTTTTAGTCACTGTCTTCCCCTCTATTTTGATTTGAGATTCCCCTGAGGTGAATCAGGCCTTTCCTGATAAGATGTTCTTTTTGTTGTTGTTTTTATTGTTTTGAGTCAGGGTATCACTGTGTAATTTAGGCTGGCCTTCAACTCATATGTACCCTAAGCTGGCCTTAAACTCTCAATGATCCTCCTGCCTCAGCCTCTGAAGTGCTGAGATTAGAAGAACACACTAACATGCTTGGCTTTGATGGGATGATCTTAAATATCAGAAATACTACTCTGTACTCTTTTTTGTTGTGTTCTGTTTTCTTTAAGGTATAGAGTACAGATAATTGTTTTATTTATTTATTTTTGATACTAGAGCTTGAACCCAAGGCTTTGTGCATGCCAGCCAAGCACTTTGCTACCTGAGCTATACCTACAGCTCTTTTAATTTTATTTTGAGGCAAAGTGTTGCTAAATTGCCCAATCTAGCCTGGAATTTGGCAGTCCTCCTGCCTCAGCATCTTGAGAGCTGGGATTACAGGTGTGTACCACCACATACAGCTGAATACAGATGCTTCTTGGAAGTGTGTAAGAGGTGAATGCCATTCTAGTGTAGCAATCAAGGCAATATTGGTAATATTCTTCCTAACTATATGTTACAATGATAATATTTACTAAACCAGGCATAGTTGGTACATGCCTGTAATCCCAGAGGCTCATGAGGCTGAGGAGGATCACAAGTTTGAATCCAGCCTAAGCAACTTCATGAGACAGTCTCAAAAAAAGCTTGGGGCTGTAGCTCCGTGAAAAGGCCCTGGGTTCAATCACTGTTATCCTCTTCCTCAAATTAATAGTTACTTGTTTTTATAAACAGTTTTTTTTTCTTAATCACTAGCAGTGTTAATGCCTTTGCTTTCTATTTTCATTTGCTCTAATGTATTGACATTTAATTTCTGCTATATCTTTTGAAATCCACAATTTTTAGAGCCAACTGAAGTTGGCTGGGATGCTCTTTTATATATTTTTGTTGCTTTTGTTTTGGATAAAATAACATTTTACTCTAAAAAATTATCTGTGGTTTGCAGTTTTTTTTTGATCAAGAAAGGGAATAAAAAAGTATTTTTCTGATGTATCTTTTTTGCTTTAAGATAGACCTGTTTATCCTGCCACATAGGGACAGTTTTTTTCTATTTGGATTGAAATAGAAAACTACAGGAGTTACTAACATGTTACCTGTTAAAAGGAAGATGCCATCTATGAAGACTAGTTTATTTCAATGGTTTGTTTTTGTTTTTTGGTTTTGTTTTGTTTGTTTGTTTTTTCAGAAAAGGTCTTGCTATATATATAGTTCAGGCTGACTTTGAACTCATTGTGTATCTTAGGCTGTCCTGGAACTTGAGGTGATTCTCCTGCCTCAGCCTCTGAAGTGCTGAATTATAGGTATGAGCTATCATGCCTGGTTTAAATAGTAATTTAAAAAAGTGAGAGTGGTTGACCCTTTGTCCATCATACTGAACATTACTCAAAAAAATGATAATGCAAAACTAATTTGGAGGAGGAAAAAGGAACTGGTTGTGAAATTTCTGGGAGGCAGGAAGCTTGAGGTGTCAGTATAGTCAGGTTTGGCTTAGGCTGTATGTGGAGACACCATAGGAGCTCCCTGGCTCTCAGGAGACACACATCTGCATTGTAAAAATCTGAGAAGGAGGTGCTGTACTTTGGAGAAGAACTTCAGTTTCTGAGCTTCTGGAGAGAAGTGTAGACTCCCTGAGAGCATGGGGTGTGAGTTCTCCATCTTTGAGCCCAGCGTTGCATTGTACCATGTTTTGTACATGATTGAGTCCAGTGTTGATAAATGGATGATCACATTAAATGTCTTTCTTTCTCAATTGTACTTAGTTTTCTTCTTCTGTAGCACCAACCTGTATTTTAGCTCCACAGAGCTTGCAAAAAGCTTGTATCTTTTATCTAGAGTAGGGATCAGCAAACTGCCATCCATGGAACCAAGTCTGACCTGCTGTCTGTTTTGTATGGCCTAGAAACTATGGTTTTTAAGTAGTTGAATGGAATCACAGAAGATTGTAGCATGAAACGTGAAATTAAATTTTGTGGTTCTTTTTTTTTTTTTTTTTTTGGTTTTTCTCCGGTACCAGGAACCGAACTCACGACCTTGAGCTTGCCAGGCAGGTGCTTTGCCGCTGAGCTAAATCCCCAGCCCCTGAAATTAAATTTTGTTTTCTGTAAATAAAGCTTTATTGGAACAGAGCTACCGTTCTTATCTGTGTACCTATGTCTGGCTGTTTTTGTGCTGCAGTGGCAGAGATGAACAGTTGCTGCAGGGACCATCTGGCCAGCAGGGTGGAAAATAGCATCTAGTCCTCTGAAAAAAGTGTGCCTACCCCTGCCATCCTGATTTAAAGCAGTATATAAGTTCTATTAGTACATAAAGCAACTATGATAGGAGAATCTAGAGCAAAATATTAAGGTACAGTAATATTTATTAAGTTAGGGTTAGCTACTTTTAAAGTAGCTCACACCGTTTAGTGAGAATGCTGTCCAGGAGGGAGGCATTTCCATTCTATAGATGGAAACACTGAGGTATAAAGAGATGCAGAATAATTCGTTTTTGTTTTTTGTTTTTTTTTTTTTTTTGGTTTTCTCCGGTACCGGGAACTGAACTCACGACCTTGCCCTTGCCAGGCAGGCGCTTTGCCGCTGAGCTAAATCCCCAGCCCCGAGGTACAAAGAGATGAACTTGATAAAATTTAAGAGTGGAGTTTGAAATTCAAACAGTCTGACTTGAGCCAATGAACTTCACTGCTATGGTGCAGTATCTTCCCATATAGAACTGTATTACTTGGTAGTTCTAAGTACAGATTGGTTGTCCTTCATAGTACAGTTATCTTCCTGTTGCAGTTGAAGCTGTACATTTTCAATATTTGTATTTAATGTTACAGATCAGTAAATACTTTGATCTGTATTTGAATGAAACAAAATACTGTTAACTTCAAATGTAGCAAGTTCTAAAGCTTTTTGGAGGGTGGGAGTAAATAGGGAAAGAAAAGGAATTTTGTTTAAAAAATTCTCTGGTGTTAGGTAAGGAATTCTGGTGTCACATGTCTGTAATGCACTCACACAAAGGCATAAGCTGATGAGGGGTTGCACGTTAAAAGTACAGTTACCTCACATCTGGAGAATTGATTGTGGGACCCCTGCTGGCACCTGAGGATGCACATGGTTCTTTATGTAAATATTTGCATAGGACCTTTGCACATGCTCTCATATACTTTGTAAGACTTCTGTATATCACAGTAGATACTTCATGTAAATGCTGTAGTGTTGATACTGTATTGTGTGGTAAATAATGATG